TGAATGTTTTTTCTTCCACAGCATGTTTATTTAGCCATGCAACACCACAGCAAACTGGGAGCCAAGAATGGCAAGGACGCAAGCCTGGATGACTGCACCTCTCTTGGGAACATGCATGGATGTAACAATTTGTTTTGAAGCTGGGTTTTGCACATGCATTTTGGAACATGCATTTTCCTATCTGGAACATGCATTTTGGGTATATGTTCCCCTGCCTGGATAGGAAGTTATAAGGCTAGAGCTGGCCATTGTGTTGTGTTGCATTGCTTCGGCTCTGCTTGCCTTGTCCGTCATAAGGTTGACTAGTTCGGCTATCTCAAACAATGAGGTCGGCAGTCGGCACGCAGTCAGAGTCTATTAGTGCAAAATTTACAGTGGGAAACATTAGGCACAGCGCCTCCAGGGCTGCAGCACCAGCCCAGGTATAGTGGACCTGATGCAAACCTGTGTCAGCATTGATGGGAAGATGGATAGCGGTTGTCTTCTCCCGGTAGGGGCCAGTAACTGTACATCTGCCTTTGATCCAGGGTGCGAAATGCGGCCAGTAGGCCGGAGGATCAGTGCCTGACAGTTTGCGGTTGTCCACATAAACATAAACGGTGGCATACTGTGGCAACCATGAGAGGTTATCTATTATCCATTGGAAGAGCGTCCTATGATGAACCTGGCTGGCTGCGGGGCGTCGGATTCCATTGCCTTCGTCCACCATGATTGCTGGGTATGTCAGGGGTGACCGGGGCATTCGACAAGAGCCGACATCGGCCCACTTCCACCTTTGTCTGATATCGTCCATGCCGAGTGGGGTTTCAATTTCTTTTTCCGAGAGGAAAAGTTCATCGAGCTGGCGACTTATTTGTGAGACCCCCTGGACATCGAAGAAATCGATAGGTGCGGCAATTTCCCACTGCTCCCTTGGGGGAGGCTCAGCCCCTAAATACGGAGTGTCATCATCTGTCTCGAGGGCGTCAAAGTATTCCGTTTCACTGTCCACTGACACATCCTCGACTGTTTTATCTGGGACGGTTGGTTCTGTTGGTTCGATGTCTGTATCTGAGTCGTCAGGGTCAGGCGACGCCAATGAAATGAACCTGTTTGGTGCCATGAGCTGTCGTAGCATGCTGGCACAAGCTTGACCCTGAACAACCGGTACCCGGGTGTCAGGTGCCAAGTGACCAGCCGGGACTAGTGGATGCTATCTGGGCAGGGAGTGCAAAATGTGTCAACTGGATTGGCAAGGCTAGGGAAACCCCGAACACCCGGCACCCGGGGTCGGGGTTCCCCGTTGCGGGGCCAATTCGTTGGAAGTTAAACAAAAGAGGAACCAAAACAATCAAGGTTTGACTATCACCTTGGTGTGCGAATTGATGTCGGATGGCTGACCTAGCTATAAGAACTAGTGGAGCCACAAAAGCTGCAGTGCGAACAATTGAGCCAATGACAGTTCATGTAACCTTCTTTGCCCAGAGTAGATGTTAGTTCGACAGGAGTTGAGATGACTGACGGCGACAGGACCTGGGACACACACCTAACAAAGACAGCTTAGTAGAAAATTCCCCATAAATCCCCTTACTCTGGCTTGTGGGGGTCATACTTGAGTGGGTACTCTCCCATGAGGTAGGTTCGGGGGGTATTACCCTGGCACGCAGCTGCTTTTCTCTTGGCGCATCTGTGGGGTAGGCGGCATTAGAAATAGCGCTGATCAGGTGGTTTCACACAATCAGGTGCACGCAGTGCTAGCTGTCTGCAGGTTGGATCAGTCAATAATTTCCATTTCCATATCTGCGACAGGCGAGGCTTGCGGAGTGCCTGGTGATTGGCCATCTTGCATTCTTTTAAGGCGCTTCCTGATACGCGTCAGATGCTCGCGAGCACTGGTAAGCCGCGTTTCATGGAAGGCCACTCTTTCACAGGCTGTCTTTTCCATGTGCTGTAAGGTCGGGATGTCCGCTGCGGCGAGGTCGACGTCCTGCCTGGATTCACTGGCAGGCTCAGGGCTGCTAGCACCAACAGTGTCAGTTGCTTGCGTCTCTGGCGATGCATTTGGTGTATCCGCAGGCGACGATTCTTCTGTCGGTGTGTCGTCATTAGCTGCGGGCTGCTCTTGAGGTTGCTGCTGTTCGTCATCTTTGCTGTGAGTTGCAGAGTGAGGGTCGGAGGATAACACGCCGGTACCCGGGGTATCCGTGTGTGATTTGTGCGTGGGTAGGGCCGATGGTGGGCCTGGTCTTTGGTTAAATAATGATTGTGCACTGATTTTAGCCGGCGGATTGCTTTGTTGTGGAGTTGGAGCTTCTGCCGCCACGCCTGCACTGGGATTGGTCGATACGGCGGTTGCCGCCTTATCTGTGCTTTGTTGACTTGCGGCCAGCAAATTGGCTGGTTTTTGGGTTTGTTTGACATCCGCTGGTCGGCTGTCTGCCAACGTCCGTTGGTTTGCTTGAGCAATAATAGACTGCAATTCCATGTATTGCCGTTCTCGGTCAGCCACCTGTTGTGGCGTGCTCTGAGTACCCTTAGGGTCCTGCGGAGTAGCTGCTTGCAGTGTGTGTGCTGGCTGTTTTGCTGCAGTTCGTTCCGTCCACCTGGTTGGTAGCGGTGGAGGCGGAGGTTGTGAACGCTTCGCATGCTGAGAAGGTTTGAGTTGGTTAATGCGTGGCTGAATTTCATCTCGCAATTCAGTTGGGTACGGCTCTCCTGTCTCAGCTAACCACTGTATAGTTTCTTCATGCAACCACAGGGTGGTTCTCCACAATGGGATGGTGTTGTCATCATTGACCCAGAACAGTGGCATAGGCGGTAGCAGCTCATGGGCCTCCACGATCAAAGGCAGTAGGAAAGCTAATCTCTTTTGCTCATGGAAAATCGCTGCTCCGTTCGGGTGAACTTTCAGGTGGGTCTGGTTCCACACAAAGGGTTGCACGACACGCATGGTATGAGCGACATTATTAAAGATGGATAATCGAATTTTGGTATACGGTGGCGCAACACCGTAGGCTTGTCCATCCCAGGGTGGTTCAAGAAAACCCCACCGCTCTTTCCGGCTGTAGTTAACGGTCTCCCAAAAGCTAGGTTCAAACTCGTTCTCAAGGACATCAGCAAGAGTAGAAAAGATAAGCCATGGTACCTCGTCGATATACAATTGGTATTCCACCAGCGTAAAGTTATATGTTGTTTGGCAATCTCCTACCCATATTGTGCCCCTCACTGCAAGGAAGCGAACGTTGCTGGCATCTCGCATGTCCCAATTCATTCCAGCCGACATGTCCAGTAAGTGTTGATCGGAAACACGGATTGGGCCAGACGGAAAGGGGTTTGGCTTCGGCATACCAGCAACAGGTACCCTGCAGTGGCAGCACTCTCCGGAGTGGAGGCTATTGCGTGGCGTACGGTTGGACCAAACGACAGGAACCACTCGCTATTGCGGGCAGCGGCCAAACAACGGGAACTCCGTGTTGGCTTGGATGTATGAACGGGCGAGCAAATTGAAAAATGGGGACAGGGAGGACCCAGGCAACTCTGGCTTATGCAGGTGCGGTGTCCTCGCAGTTTGAGCCAACGGCTGCTGACGGAGACAGTGAGTCATGTTCGGATCAAGCACAAGATAAGAGAAGCAACCACTGCTGTAGTGGGAAGTGTATGCAACATGTTGCCGGTGACTGGGTTGAGTGAAAGTGCATTGTTGTTCAGTTGTAGAGGCATAAGACAGAGGGGAGTAGCAAGGAGCGAAGCAAGTGGCAGGGGCAGCAACGCATGACACAGGAAGTTGACCATCAGTGCAAGATATGCTATAGACGATAGAACCCGAGGAGCATTGTCAGCAAGGAGTACGCATTATTGAGAGGATATATGACCGTGAGGATGTTTGAACCAGGGTGATGATCATGAGTGTGCGAAACAGGTGAGATGAATAACTTGTAGAGTGAAAGCAGAGCTGAACCCTCACCATTACCCAAGGTGCCCTTGGGAACAGTAGGGGGATGAGAGACACATGTGTCGTATTCCTACTAGGCATGATGTGGGGGGCACAGTGGGGGGTGAGGGCATGAGGGACTACTTACGTAGATGGTTTTGAGTACGTGAAGCAGTTTCAATCAGCTCTATCCCTTAATAAGGGGGATGTACCTACAATGGTACAATTCACTTGTTAGAGGGGTGCAATGGCGGTTTCGAGGGAGTGACGGATTGTTGATGCCAGTCTGTTTATACCAGAAGAAAACCGCCTAACGTGAGGTTTTAATCAGCAATAGCTACCCGGCATTGAGCTGAATTACAGCATTCCATCCCTATCAGGTCAGATAGCCAGTAATGACCGCACTGGGCATGCCTTTTCGCCCAAGACGTTCAGACTGCATTGACTGTTCCTTGGCGGCAGGTTGGCACTCAGTGCATCCAGGTCAA